ATTGAACCCGATCGAAAAGTTCTTTTCAATGTTAAAATCCAATTTCAAATCCACGAGAAATGCTAATCCCGATATGACTGTTAAAGAAACTCTAGAATATATTTTATTACCTGATAATAATTATAGTCAACAGTGCAATGCCTTTTATATAAATATGAGAAGATGGTTGAAAAGGCAATAAGAAGAGAAGAATTTATCTAATTAAAATATTTAAAATGATTTGTTTATTTATTTTTTTTTATTATTATTTTTTTTTCTGATTAACATTGTATAATATTATTACAATGCACGTATACATATGGAATCTTATAAAATAAAATATAAAAGTATATACATTACAACAAAATTAAGTTAAATCAGATAGGGGCTCAAAGAAGATAAGGATAACATTACGTTATCGCAATCTTTTCATAACGGGTGGTTACTAAAAATCCGGACAAACTTTTAAGTGCAATTACTCCCAAAGTTTTTATGGTAGAGATTAAATAAAACTATCATTAAAAAGAGTTTTTAGTTATTTATTTATTTTAATTAAGTTTGTCTTCAACCTGTCTGTTTCTTCGGATTCGGCCAACTCTAACACGAGTTGACCCAAAAAGTGAAAATACAAGGTTAAGGTCAATTTTTTTCAGGCAAAGCTTTATTCTGGTTCGTAGTTGTTTCACGTCTTTTGCTTGCCAGTTACTCTCATACACTTTGCCTTTCAAAATAGCCCAAAAGTCTTCGATTGGGCGACACTCCGGTACGGCTGGCGGATTGTCAACTTTTTTGATAAAATTGATGTTATGAGTCTCGTAGCAGCTGGTCACGGTTTTGGCATAATGCGATGAATCCAGGTCCGGCCAAAATATGTAATTACCATCGGCATGATAAGCGTTGATGAACGGCACTAATCTTTTTCTAATACAATTCATTTTATAGATGGCTTTATTGACTGCAAGGCCGCTGGGTATAAAAAATGGTTTTGAAACACTTTTGTCAGAAGCGGCCAGCCAGACAAGCACCTTGGGTTCGAACTTGCGCTTTTTGCGATATTTAACACTTGGTGGAGTCTTGTCTCTGTTGCTAGAGTAGTAGGTGCTGTTTCCATTAATTGTTGAGTGTGACAGCGTGAAGTAACTCTCATCGTCAAGGATGACCGATTTTCCTTTAAAAACGCGATAAAGACGATCAATTCCAGTTTTGATTCGCTCATTCTGGTTCTCTTGTCGATGAGGTATACCCTGTTTTGTATAACCTTTGATGTCAGTGTACTTGGCAAGAGTTTTAATGATATGTGAATGACTGCATCCAAATTTTCGACCAGCTTGCCTCATCGAAACTCGGTCACTGTGATCAAATATGGCTTTCAGGCGCTTGATCCTCTTAGGGGTCATGATTTTGGCCACACGACCACTTCCTTGCACTCTTTTGTGCCCAGAATCATTATCAACACGTTTGATTATATCATATATAGTGCTTCTTGGGATTTTTTCAGCATTGAAGTGAGCTACTGTGAACTTTTACCTTGCAATTTATTATTCAAATAGAACTCGTAAATCCGTTTTCTTACCTCTTCTTGCTTGGTCATCATTATTTTTTTAATTATTATTAATTATCTAAAAAAAAAAAGATTAACTTATAGAGAATTAAATAAGCTATAAAATGGATATAAACATGAATAAAAAAGATTTAGCTTGTGGCATTTAAAATTCAGTTAAAATTTGTCCGGATTTTTAGTAACCATCCGTTAGAACCCCTTGGTACAAGTTTAAATAAAACAACGTAAGAATAAATAGCTTGTATAAAAATATAATAACAACAATGTTATCATTAAAAAGTCAAGACAAGGTTAAATTAATCGAAAAAGTAAAAAGAAAAAACTTTATCTTAAGTTCAAATTTTAAAAATTTCTTTTTTTAATTGAAACTTAAATGAATTTAAAGACTTCACCATAAATTTAAATTCCTTTTGACAGTCATTCCATAATTTAGGTCCTCGATAAGATATACAAAATTCTGAGAGTTGAAGCTTGCGTACTTGCCCATGATATATTTGCATAATTAATAAAACAGTGTATCAGTCCAAAGTATATTAATTTGAGACTTAAGATATTGACGTATGGTCTAACCCTATACATTACGCCAATAGTTTCGGTAACTTTTGAATGTATGTAATTTATATAAGGGAAGCCAAGATAAATTTATATCAACAAGGATTCCTAGGAATTATATACTTGCTTGCTTTTTTATAATTGTATCATTTAAGTACAATTCGCGCAATTTAAAAAGAATGCTTATTTCTTGCGTTTTTTTATGGAATAGAGTATAGTTGGTTTTCTTAACATTAAGTGTGAGTTTGTTAGCTTTAAAACAACTATTTACTTTATTTAATTCTATATTCATATCTGTATATCAAAGATGTTTAATATGATTATTGGTAACAAATAAATTAGTATCGTCTGCAAACATTATTGAGTTCAGTTTTAATGATGCATTACAAAAGTCGGTAATATAGATTAAGAATAAGAGCGGACCAAGGATTGATCCTTGTGGAACTCCGCAAACGACATTTAATATTCCGGATCGCACATTATGAACATATTGCTTTCTATCAGTAAGAAAACTTTTAATTCAGAAATAGTTTGTATTATTTATACCATAATGCTTAATTTTTTGTAAGAGAATGCAATGGTCGACTGTGTCAAATGCTTTGGATAGATCTATAAATACTCCTAAAGTAAATTTGTTAATGTCACACCCATCGGTTATTTGGTTGACTATTTCAATAATTGCATGCTCAGTCGAGTGATTTTTTTGAAATCCGAATTGTTTTGGGTAGAATAAGTTATTTTTAGTGAAATATTCGAATATTCTATTATAAATTACGCGTTCAAACAATTTTGAGAATACAAAAAGTAAAGATATAGGTCTATAATTTGTAATGTTCGAATGATCGTTACCTTTGTAAATTGGGATTACTTTAGCTATTTTAAGAGCATCAGGGAAAACACCAAACTTTAATGAGAGTTTTAGTATATGAAATAAAAGTTTGCTTAAGCTAGTTTTGTTAAAAATAACTGTTGCTAGGTATTTCATCATATCCTGGGGATTTTTTTTTTTTTTAAGATGAGCATGCTGTTTCTAATTCTTTATAGCTTAATTCATTGTCATACAATATTTTGTCATTCGTTTTTAGGTTTTAGGTAGGTTTGAAATGAGTCTAATGTTGGTGTTATCTTATTAGCAAGATTTGGGCCAAAATTTGTAAAATACTTGTTGAACTTTTTTGAAATTAAGTTTTCATTGTATATATCAGTGTTATCAATATTAATTCTTTTAGGTATAAAGATGCAATGTTTTTTTCTTTACCGATTATATTATTAATTATGGACCATGTTTTTTTCCTATTAAATTTGTATTTGGAAATTAGCGTACTGTAATTTTTTTTGCATTTTTAATTAGTGCTTGGTAAAAGTTTTTATATTTTTTGTAATTTTTTTCGTTTTCAGTGTTTTTATTTTTTAGGAATTTATTATACAATTTTTGCTTTTTTTTAGACCATTTTAACAGCGATTTATTCATCCACGGATTAGCTAGTGTTTTCGCCTTAATTTTTATATCCTCGTATGGGCAGGTTTCATTGAAGTGCTTCAATAATGTACTTAAAAATTTTTTAAAAGCCTCGTTAGTATCTTGACATTTATATACACTTCTCCACGTTTCTTGTTTTAATTTACATGTTAATTCATTAGTATTGCTAATTTTTAGGATACGTTTTTTCAAATTGATAACATTTGGTTGACTATCGGACGCAGTTTTTAAATAGTTTACTTTTAAGAAAATAGGAAAGTGGTCACTGATATCTGTCTGGAATATTCCGGATTCAAATGTTGTTTCTAGGTAGCTATTAATGAAAATATTGTCACTTACAGTTGCTGAATTTTTTGTAACACGTGTGGGTTTATTAATAATTGATAAAACATTGAATTTAAAGAGCATATCAAAGAATGATTTATCGGAGACATAGACCCCTAATCCTCCACATTTTTTTTCCGCTGGCTCTTGGTTGACTAATTAAATTATAAGATGGCAGTTTATAGTTAGTGTTTAACTCAATATAACTTTCTGTATTGTGCCAAGTCTCTGTAAGAGCTATGACATCAAACGCATAATTTACAATCCTTAAAAATTCTTTCAATTTTTCAATATTTTGCTGGATGCTTCTAATGTTTAAGTGCAATACAGAAAATGAACTATGATCTTTTGTTACTTTGAAGTCAAAAGGATTAAAATTTGGTGTGTTAATTAAGTTCATTTGAATTTCTTGAAGAATATTCAAGTTATCATTTGATAAGTTATCATTAATATCCTGAAAAGGGTCAAAGTTTATATTTTTAAAACCTTTGTTGATTAAAGTGCTCATTCTTATTTTTGAAAATAAACAAATAAGATTATAAAAAAAAATATATATTGATTTATTAACTCTAAATACAAATATAAATCAATCTGATCAAGACTTTAAATTTTGAGCGCCGTCGGAATTCTTATCTTTAAACTCATGAACAACGAGCTTGTTATATACCACTTTTGCAAAGTATCCGTTTTGCCTATGAATTTTTGCTTTAGTAAAAAATTCTTTACGAATTTTTCTTGTGGTTTCGCTGTTATCCTCGTTAATATATATATTGCTACCTTTAAGATAAAAAGCTTTATCCAAGATAATTTTTTTGTCCTTAAAGTCATGTAGTTTGAGTACAATGATGAAAGTCATGTAGTTTGAGTACAATTGTTCGCGCACGCTCATTATTAGCAAACAACAAAATTTCTCATGAAAAAGTTTTTTAATTTTTCTTTCGTAGATTCCCACTCTTTTTCATCAATAGTTTCTTTAAAACCGTCAATTCGTAAATTGCACCTTCAATTTCTATCCTCTATGTCAACACTTTTTAACTTTAACTCACTATTATCGGACAAAATTTTCCCTTGTATTTTTTTAATATTAAACAACTCATCACTTACTTGTTTAACTTTTTCTTCGTGCATCTTCATTTTTTCTTCACACAGGTCACCAACAAAATTCATACCAGTTTTTATTTCACGAAGTTCATGACTTAAGCCGTTAATATTTTGTTGCAGAGCTTCAACTTTTAGATTAAAGTCTTTAACTGTTTCTTAGAAAAACGACATTATGGTTTCTTTTTGAACATTAAGAAGTTCCCTCATCATTACAATGGAGACATATTCAACTGATTTACTCATTTTAATTAATTTAATTATATAATAAATAATCAATAAGATAAATTTAAAGGTTTACAACTTCTTAAATTTATCCACACAACAAAACACGACTGATCGCTTCAGAGTTTTGAGCATTGAAATTAGTCTCCCATTTGATGGAATAATCAAGGCCGGCGCGAGTAGGTGTCACGTGAGGGGGGGGGGGGTGGTGCCGCCATTACATTTTGCCAACAAAAGATAAAAAAAAAAAAAAAGGTCCTCTTTTTCCAAAATTTGCCGACTGCCATTGCGACATTTGCCGACTGTCTAGATTACCGACTAACCTATAACAAAAGGGTCGACATTTGCCGACTAACTAGTCTAAAAGGGTCTAATTTTCCGACTAAGGGAATATTTTTGCATGCCTTTTTAAAATATTATGATTAAATAATGTATACTATTTTTTTAAAATTATAAAAGTATTTCGTCTAGAAAAGTTATTGATATATAAACATACGCTAAATTAAGTAAAAATGTAAAGAATTTTCACTAACTAATCACTTTAAAAAAAAAAACAAAAAAAAAACAAACACTTATTGATTGCTATGCTGTAATTTAATTTAATATTATGCGCAATATTATTAAAGCTAAAAAAATAATTTCCAAAAAAATGTATATGCATTTATAACTTTGCAAGCGTGCACTTATAACTTTGCAACCGTGCACTTATAACTTTGCAAACATGCACTTACAACTTTGCAAAACCCTGTAAATGCATTGCTATTGGAAATCAATTTGCTTTTGCAAAGATACCATTTTGCTCTAATCAAGGCAACTGGTTACCTAAATTGGAGCACTTTGATTCCTTAATCAGAACAGGTCATTTAAAAAAAACAAAAAAAAAACCCAGTAAAATCAGTAAAAATATTATTTATTTTTACAGTGAAAATTTAAACAGCTAATTCAAAACTTATTATAGGATTAGCATTACCTTGAGAAACTCAAAGCCTACAAACAAAAAATTGTATAAAAGCTTTAACTGCTCTTAATTTATTGATTAAAAATCACTAAACAAAGTATCATTTTAAAGGTTTTATGGTTGTTACTAAGTATTTTTTAATTGCACTTGAACTATTTTTACAAACTTTTGATTTTATTACTGATTAGGTAAGGAAAGCGTTATTGTTCCAATCAAGGAAACTTTGGACTATTTTGTTATATCACTGCAATAACATGCTTGCAGCAACTCATAAGATAAGTTTATATTGCTATTTTTCATTTTAAATAATAGAATTAAACACAAAAAACCATATAACCTATAGCACCACAGTTTACCCAGCGCAACCAATATAGTGTGAACACAAAATTAGATGACTGAAAAAAAATGACACAAAAAAACTTTAAATCAATGGTGCAAATGCATTTTTTGAGGAATAGCTTTCAAAATGTGTCAAAACCTAGAAAATAATGCGTTTTACTAAAAAAATGCAAAATATAGCCATAATTCATTTTTTTTTCAAAAATAAGTGCAAGTGTTCCAATTAAAGCGCTGTTGCAATTTCGGCAACTCTCCCCTATTTGTATTTGCTTAATCTCGTAAACTTTCCTTATCGTCGAAATACATTAAACCCGAAAAGTATAATGTATAAAAAAATTGTGAAAAGAGAACATTTTATAATTTATTCGGTGGGTAATCTTGGCGAAAAAAAAATTAAAAAAATTATTTATGTAGGAGTTATGGTTGTTTTAGAAAATAAAAGCGTTTTAAATAATTTAAAAAAGCGCCATTGCACTTTTACTTTTATTGTTATAATTTATAAGAAAAAAAAAAATTGATTTCTTGCTGGCCTCTCTAAATGTCTTGGCCCCGCAGCGGCTGCCTAGACTGGACATGTGTAAAAACGGACCTGGTTAGGCTGCCAATCAGGACTGACGTTATCAAGCATTTCCTCTACCTGAAGGAGAAGAATGGTCCAATTTCACGACTTGTTTCATGTCCTTTAAGTAATAGCTTTAGGTAACTTTTTATCAAGAACCTAACACAAATATAGTATAGTTTTTCAATTTTTTTTTCATAGTAAGCAAATATTAAAAATTGTTTCATTAAATATTGTTCATTCAAAAATTTTAAAGGCAATTTTATTTTATTTTTGATATGCAACTGAGGAAAGATTTTTAAGAATAAAATATTTTTGGTTTAGTGAACAGTTTTTTAGTCATAACAGGGGTATGACTAAAAAGCACATTTTTTTTGTTTCGGAAATGGCATAGCGGCAAAAGATGAACTTTTACTTGTATTAACTTAAAATAATAATACTTTTTTACAAATCAAATAAAGATTCACACAAATGCAGATAAAAATTATTCCCAGATGTCTAAAATTGCAAATAACTCAAGTTTTTTCATTTATAGTAGAGAGAGGATCACTTAACAAAATTTCAAAAATACCATGAGAGTTATTTTTGCAGCTTGATCTATCTACTTTTAGATTATGTTTTGTTTTTTGGTAAAAATGATGGGAAGAGTTGATCTTAACCATTTGTAGTCATGCGTATATTTGAGAGGTTGGGCGAGGGGGAGAGCTTTCTAATTTTATTTTCATGAACTTTAAATATAAATTTTTTTTTTAATTTTACATTTTTTATTTAAAGAAAGACTATTTGATGGTTTTTATCCAAGATTTTCTATCAGTTGTTTTAAATTTTAAACAATGATAAGCTACAACTATTAAGTTTGCTTCTCCGTCTACTTTTGTTTCTAAACGTTTCAATGGGTTATTTAGAGTGAGAGGAGGAGGGAGGAGAGAAAGGAGGAGTCAACAAAGAGTTTTGTGAAATTTTTAAAATTTTTTTTGTAAATAAAAAAATGTCAACAAGCAATTGTTAAAACAAAATATCTCATTCTGATGTTTTTCATGTTGGAAAAAGAATTGAAATTATATATAACACATTACACGTAGTACATAACCAATAAGACTTGCTTATTAAGAAAGCTGTCCTACAGAGGTTATCAGATGTGTTAATTTCCCAAATATTTCTACAATTAATATAGCTTCATGTCTGTTTTTTTATGGCTTAATGTATTGAAATAGGATATTGTCTCTTGCTAAAAAATTTACTATGCGCCCTTTATTAGGTGAAGAAAATACTGACTAACATATCAGATGTTTACTATATTATAGTAAAATGCTTATAAATTTTCAATTCTGTCTAAATTTGACTTTAAATTTATAAAAATATCAATATATAAATGATTTTAGTTACAATATCTTTAATGAATTCTTTTACTTTTGATACGTCATTTTGAGACAAGATCTCTGTTTTTTTATTTTTCATTAATAAATCTTACAATTTAGAGACTATTTAGGGGCAGGAATGTTGACCTAAAATAGGAACTTAAGCAAACGCAAAACCATAAAGGCAAGAATGTGGTTTTAAAAGATCAAGATTTATTTAATTTAAAATAAAAAAACACTTCATCTTGATAAATAAAACACAAGTTTTAAAAAGTAGACAAGAAGATGTAGATTTTCCTAATGATCAGAAAGGATTGCATCTTCAAAAATGTCGCGCGAAAAAACATTTTGCAAAATAGAAAGTGAAGTAATTTGAAACATCCGAATGACACCCACTCTTGCGAATTGGCGTAACATTTGCTAGTCTCCATAATTCCAGTATTTTACCACTATTAAACTATAACTTAAATAAGAACAGAATTGATTTAGACAGTGAATAAAATCAGCTAGACATAACATGAGGATGAACTCCGTCAACGCCACATGAGTTATGTTTGTTTATTTCTTTTAGTCTTTTTTAACCACCTTTAATTTAAAAATATTATCACTATTATCATCACATTTGACGTTGATTTGTATTGGAAATTCTGAAAGCTCCTGAAGCTTTGATGCTTCGTTTTTTGATAATGAAAGAGTAAATCATTTTTGGGTTCGATTTTGCGTTTGCAGCTAATTTTTTTTCGTACTTAATTCGTTTGGACCTCCTTTGCTACTTTCTTTTTTTGTTTCCAGGTATTTAAGTTTCAGATCATGTTTGAAACCACTAACTTTTAATTTGAACCAGAGATTTTTTTCGTTTTTAGTTAGCTCTATTAGTTGTTTGTTGAACCAATATTACTGTTTTTGCATGAAATTTAAGTTTTGCTTTTTTATGAACTTTTCACATCCATTGTCGTACATTTCAACGATATTTTTGTAGTTTGTTTCAAAATCAAGATCATTGTTGAGTTTATTTTTCCTATCAAAATATTTTTGAAAAATGAACTTAGATCTTCGTAATTGCATCTTTTGTAGACAAATTTTTTGGTTGAGCATCTTTTTGCGTATTATTGTTTGTTAAATTCAAGTGGAATGTTAAAGAACGATTTGCTTTATTAATTTGACCTAAAGGAGCTCCAGTTTTCAACTCGCTGACTCTCTCATATACTTCCGTGAAAATAAGATCGAGTATATTTGTTGTTTCACAATCGCTTGTTTGAAAGGTTGGTACATACACGCGTTGAAAAAGAAATGGGTTTTGGATAGCGCTTAAAAAACATTCGAGTTGTTCATCTTTTTCTAGCAAAGAGGGAACACCATTTAGATCCAAGGCTATATTGGTAAAGTTGAAATGACCTGTTATTATTGTACCGGTAGTTTTTCTACAATCGTTTAGTTTCCGTGTTTCTTCAATTGAGTTAAGTATCCACTATTATTCCTTGCAACCAGTCGCGGATTAAGACTTCTTGGGGCTTGGAGCTATTTTTGTTTTTGGATGTCTTTTTATGGACAAGAACCTAAAAATGACTTAAAAAAAATATATATATATATTTAAACTATATATATATTTTTAGGAGCCCGGGGACTATAGTCCCCGGGCCCCTAAATTTGCGGGGCCCGGGGCTATAACCCTCCCCAAGCCCCCGTTGATACGGCACTGCTTGCAACTCGGCGGTCTGTAAATACACCCTATAAGGATTCTTTCAGTTCCATATATGAGTTCACATCAAATAACAGACCTATTTTTATAACATCAGTGGTCTGTAGAGTAATGGAGAGCATTGTAATGTACAAAATAGTAGATCATCTTTTAACAAATAGTTTAATATCAAAGGATCAACACGGCTTCGTTAAGGGTGAATAATGCAGAACAAACTTGCTTGAGTTGTTTGACCTAATTACAAAAGCTACCGACAACGGCATTCCAGTTGATACAATATTTAAAGACTTCAGTAAAGCATTCGATCAAGTACCACACACGAATTTGTTTAAGAAAATTAATAGCATACGGAATAGTAAATAAGATGCTCAACTGGATAATTAACTATTTAAAAGATCGAAAACAGCGTGTCATACTAGGAGACGCCATTTCGAACTGGATTCATGTGATTAGTAGCGTTCCTCAAGGCTCGGTTTTTGGCCATTACTGTTTGTAATTTTGTTAAACGACTTGGCAT